TCAAAAAATGTACACTCGTTTAATTCGACATACTAATACTTCTCTGTTACAATCCCGTGTCTTTTTCAACTTTTCAACCTCTAATTATTCAAGTAACTCTCAAGATCATAAATCTAATGAACACTTAGTAAAATCGGAGGCAAAAAAAGATGAAAACGAATCCAGTGCGCCACCATGTGACCGGACAGAACAAACTGTTTCTGGAAATACGGATCAGATCTCACATACAACAACTGCTTACGATAAGGGCAGAGTTTGTCCCGATCAAGAAATTGAAGATATGAAAAAAAAGAATCATCAAGTATTTCATTTCTTTACCGAAATTGAATCTGTGCAGATATTTAATGCTTTTTATGCTTAGTAAGATCAGCACAAACCAGAAATTCGTATTTAAAAAATATTTGATTTCTAATTAGGATTCGTTAGATTTAAGTGCGGCTAATCGACAAATAAGTCATACCTCCAAAGATTCTTCATTACCTGTTAAAAAATAAAATATATAATTTGAAGTGGTATCTATCATACACTTTATGCTCTATAATAAACTTTATCTTGATATACGTATCATACACATTCGCTTTATACTGATTTATCGTACACTTTATACTAAATGATCTATATATAGGAAGAGTGAAAGGGGATTCATTAATTTCAAAAATTATAAAAAAATGATTATTATTCTCAATAAATAGAAAGTTCCCAATGTCTCTTAATTTGGCAATTCAAAATTTTAATTTGAGAACAGTTATAATTTACAGTAATGCAAATACTTTAATATTTATAATTAAAAAAATACTCATTCAGTTCTTTCAGTATAATCAAGAAATGCATCAATTCTCCAAAGTATAATTAAAAATTATTTTTGTCTCGATATCATATAATCTACAGTATAAACTGTAGTGGAAAATATATTTCGAGGCATATATATGTATTATTTCGAAATATTCAATTTTTGAACTCGATATGAATATATCAAATCTTCCAAGATATTTGTGCAAGTTGCGCGTTGTTTCGTAGGATTGCACTGAACAAACTTTGGGCACGCATAAAGTACCTAGCCGAAATTCATTTGGTAATCGCCAAAATACACTTGACCTTCGCTAATATTAACCCATTTGGATCCTTTTATATTCATGTCGATAGTGATATTAATGAGGGATCATATTAAAGTTGATATATATGAGAGAATTTTAACATAATATATATATAGAAATTCATTTTATTGTTTAGGCTGATATTAGTGAAGTTGATATTAACGAGGGTTAAGTATAAGTAATCACTTAATGAATGGTCGTCGAAATTCATTTGTCATCGAAATTAATTCAAAATATAAGTAATCGCTTACCGTAATTTCGTTATTTAGAAAATCGCGCCCTTTAAAATAGTCTGCAAGGCTTCAAAATAACGCTCATGCGTGTCTTTAAATAACGCGCACCCATATATACAGTATCTGTGAAATAAGTATTGGTTTCTTTTGGCACTGCTATTTATATATGGGGAATAGTCTAGGAAAATTAGTCTTCACCAGATAGTTTGAGCTTTTGTGATTTATATTCTAAATTACGCAGTATAGGTAAGCAAATCGGTATAGAAATTAAAAGTTATACCATACTGATCAGCTATAATTACTAACCCTAACAACTTTTATTTTATTATTAAAAAATGCGTCAAATTTAAGTAAGGACAGTACGTACAGTAGCCAACAAAAGTAACGCCCGATTTGCAGATCACCTCATGTGAGCAAATAATGGGGCTGTGTTTGCCCCATACATACGTAATTGGGGGCAATTTTTTTTTTTATTTTTTGCTTCTTTTACGTTG